GGAAAAAAATTCAGAAATTATTTTTAAAGCCAGAAAGAAAAAAAAAAATCCTACTGTGTCTGTTTGGGTGAAGTTAATATTTATTTGTTCCAAGACTCCAGGCAGCTGGTAAGAAAAATGCATCTCTATTTCTCTCAGTATGTCTACTGTTTGAATTAAACATCAAGATCATCTTGGTTGGTCTGAATATTGACTTTTTGTTTGTTTGGGTTATTGTTATCATATTACTTGTTTTGCTTTTTGAGACAGGGTCTCACCATGTGGCTGGTGGGAAACTTACAGAGATCTGTCTGACTCTGTCTCCCTAGTACTGGGACTAAAGATGTGTGCCACCACACTCAGATGCCGCAGCCCCCCACCCCACCCCCAGCATTCTGAAACCTTTAAAATTTTTCCCTCAAAATTTATTTGAAGATGAATCATGAATTTTTTTAAAGGTTTATTTATTAATGTATACAGTATTCTGCCTGCATATATGCCTGTGAGCCAACATGTGGTTGCTGGGAGTTGAACTCAGGACCTCTGGAAGAGCGGTCAGTGCTCTTAACCTCCGAGTCATCTCTCCAGCCCTGAATCATGAATTTTTGATTGAATAAGGTATTGGTTAATTCAAGTTAAGCAACCACAGAATTAAAAAGGGAAATGAGTAATAATTTTAGTTTGACATGAATTATCATTAAATTAGGAGGTAAATTGTAAGCCAATTTTGGACAAAATTAATGCAAAAATTTTCATTGATAACTATGTTTAACTAATGTAAACACACACACACACACACACACACACACACATTTTTTAATTTATGTGTATGGATGGATAGTCGGCCTGTGTGTATGTCTGTGCCTCACATGTGTTCCTGGTGCCCTGGGAGACCAGAAGAGGGCAGCAGAGCCCCTGGGACTGGAGTTACTAACAGTTGTGAGTTGCTATGTGGGCACTGGGAATCAAACCCTGATTCTTTGAGAGAGCAGCCAGGGCTCTTAATTGTTGAGCCATCTCTTCAGCCCCCACACAAAATTCTTATCTTAGGTAATGGTAGAATGACAAGAACTCTGTTTAACTGGTGGCACCTTTAATCCCAGCAGTAGGGAGGCAGAGGCAGGGGGATCTCTGAGGTTGAGGCCAGCCTGGTCTATAGTGTGAGTTCCAGGACAACCAGGGCTACACAGAGAAACCCTGTCTCAAAAACAAAGATTCTGAGCCAGGCCTGGTGGCATCTGTAATCCCAGCTACACTGGAGGCTGACTGAATCAAATATCTCAAGTTCAAAGTTCGCTTGGGTTAGTTTAGCATTTGTCCTTGTTTGTGCTGAGAGGGATGGTAGCTCTGATCCTTCAGCACAGAGGCAGAGTGTGTGATACTTTAATCAGTGCCTTTTTCTTATAAGAATCTCCTTTCCTGCCGGCCATGGTGGCGCACACCTTTAATCCCAGCACTCAGGAGGCAGAGGCAGGCCATCTCTGTAGCAAGTTTTCTTGGACTATCTTTGGATCAACAACTTTATCAAATAATGAATGACCCAGAGACTTACTATGAAAGCTTGGCCTTAGCTTTGGCTTTTTCCCAACTAGTCTTTATAACTTAATTAACTCACATTTCTTGGTTGTGAGCCTAGCCTTTAATGGCTGAGCCATCTCTCCAGTACTTAACCCATTTTTTTTTTTTTTTAAATCTATGTTTTGTCCCATGGCTCAGTTACTTCTTCTTAGTACAGCACATCTGAATTATTCTGAGTCTGTTAGCAAACTTTCACCTAGATCCCTCCGGAAGTTCCACCTATTTTTTTCTGTCTAGCTATTGACCATTTAGTTCCTGATTAAACCAATCAGAAGGCACCTTAGGCAGAGATGCATCTTTACAGCACAAGCAAATATTCCACAACAGATCTCTGTGAGTTTGAAGCCAGCCTGGTCTACAGAGAAGTTCCAGGATAGCCAGGGCTACACAGAGAAACCCTGTCTCAATAACACAAAAGCCAAACCAAAACAAAAAAGAATCTCCTTCCCCCAACTGCTGCTCTGATCATTGCACAAATGGCTTCTTAGGTGCCAACCTCAAACAAAACCTCAGGAGGTGGTCCTCTTGCTAACATCACTACAGCCATCATTTTGACAAACACAAACTGAGAGTTTTCTTCACGTCCTGTTTCAGTAAGTGGCACCATCTACTAGATCTTGGTTAAGGAAAAAAATGCCGCATGTCCCAATGCTGTGACAGGGTTGAGGAGACCTGCTTTCTGCCAGGTCCAGAGTTAACTGAGGCACTCATGAAGTCAGAGCTGCCTTCTTTTATTAAGGACCTTCCAGATAGAAACTGGGAGGCATGGCAGCAAATACTTAAGGGCAGAGCTTAGGTTAAATCCTGGCCAGGCAAGTTTGGGCTGAAGTCTGAACTTCATCTATTAGAAGAGATGGGGACAGCAATTTATAGCTTGTCATGGGATGAAACAGAAGCATGTGTCTTGCACAATACCTGGTACATTTTTGAACCAATGAATTATCGGTTATTGTCATTACCCTTAGTAAAATTCTGAGTGATGATTTCAGACCAGCTTTTATGTAAGGCCACTATCAGTAGTATTAGGTTAAATTCCTTTTCTTTCTTCTTTCCTTTTACTTTTTAAATTCTTTGAGTCTGCAGCTATCTTTTGTATGTGTTTACTGCAAATACACATTTCAAGGAACCCAATTGGAAATGATCAAAATTGATTTTGAAGAAATTTTAATTTAAAGGTTCCCACTATGAGAAGGAAGATGATTCTGTAGCCAAATCACTTCCCAGAAGGTGGATACAGAGGCCAGGGCCTGACTCAGCATTGCCCCAGCAACAGAAAGGCCTACAGGGCCTCAGTCCCTGATCCCTTAATCTGAAGAGCTGCCAGCCACACAGTGCCTCAGGAAAGGTCTCCCTGGAAGCTGGCTGTTGAAATTGCTCTGGGGAAGGATTATAGGTAGAAAATTGAAGACATGGTCTTTTTTTTTTTTTTTTTTTTTTTGCCAGTGATATCTAAGTAAAAGTTCTCCCTGAAGGTCTAAGCTTCTCTAGATCCCAAAGGTTCAGTTTGGAGCATGAAGCCCAAAGGTGCTCGCAGACTCCAAGCACTGTAAAGGCAGCAATAGTTTCTTATGCTTTGTTTCCTCATGGAGCCCAGTACATAATAAATTCTGGGAGGCTATACAACCAAGCACCCTTAAAGGAACCAGACCTATGCCCTACTCCATCTGCTTCCTCTTGCCCCCGCACAAGAGCCTCTCAGACAGCCAAGAAAACCCGTCAGTTGCCTACTTAATGACTCCTGCTAGAGAATGTCTTGACTCGACCTCGAACATTCCTTTTCATCCTTAGTACAGTCACCGTTTTGAAAAACACAGCCTATTCCCTCAAGAGATACCTTTCTCTCAATCTTATTTTCAATGAAAGAAAAATCTGGTGTAAAGGGACTAGTTAACAGACTGGCTTTTCTCCTTCCAACAACCTTCAGATCCCAGGAAAAGTTCTTTATGGTCAAGTTGGGCAGTGGTGGCGCATGCCTTTCATCTCAGCATTTGGGAGGCAGAGGCAGATGAATCTTTGTGAGTCTGAGGCCAGCCTGGTCTACAGAGATAGTTCCAGGACAGCCAGGACTACACAAAGAAACCCAGTCTCTACCCCCCAATGCCCCTCACCACAAAGAAAGAACTTTATCATCAAACATGGCTTCTGTGTTGAAGACTTGAGTTCAAATCTGGACTGTAACCAGGCATGGGTAGTTCAGGTTTTTAATCCCAGCACTTTGGAGGCAGAGGCAGGTTGATCTCTATTAGTTCCAGGCCACTCTGGTCTACACAGTTAAGTTCCAGTCAGAGATATAAACCGATACCCCGTCTTTAAGAAAAAAAAAAATTGCCATGAGCTTGAGACCAGCCTGAGCTACATAGTGAGTTCTGGACTAGCCTAGGTAAAAGTAAGATCTTGTTTTAAAACACTAAAATCCAAAAAATAGACAAAAAAAAAAAAATCCTGACTCTCATTTCTTTGTGACTGACTTTGTGCTACCAAAGTTCTGTTACCTCTGTGCACTCATGTACACACACACACACCCTCCACAAAAATGAAGTTAAAGAAAAAATGTCCTGATTTGTGGCTGCTCCAACTACCCACACGAGGTGTCCTTACTTCCTCTACTCCACTGCTCTGCCAATGGCATTCCAAACTGAACAGCAAAGTTTGAGCCCTGAGGGAAGCTTTAATTATAGGACCATCTTTTCACGTCATTCTCAACCTGACCTCCCTGATCCCTCTGGTCAACTGATCCTATTCCCTACTGAGATGCCACAGTCCAGGTAGGCACCAGGGCACGGGAAGACTGGCAGCCAGGTGCCAGACCTCACTCCTTCAAGCTGGTAAGCGTTGTCCTTCCTTTTGATTTTATAGTCAATGGTACCTGCTTTTTCTCCTCCTCCCAGCATGGACAGTGAGTTTGAGAAAGGAAATCAGTTGTCTGTTAGCTGATACTAGGCACAGGTCCCTTGGGCAACTTTAGCCCCTCCCCTTACAAACCAAACAAGAACAGCAAACAGGAAACACTCATCTTTTAAAAATTACTCTATTATTATCAAATAGAACCACAGTATCCAAAAGGTAATTATAAAGTTCTACCCCCCACTAAATGGCCCTGCATCGCGCCTACCTGCGAATGGCTGGCAGCCAAATCACTGCCCCCGTGCAGATTGTTTTCATCCATTTTATTGTCAAGGAAATTAACAGCCTGAAGGGGTTCCCCAGGCCCAAGCACTCCCCCCTGGGGCCCTGGGGAAGCAGGCAACAAGCGACCTGGCTGGTCTCACTACCGTCCTGGGGAGAAGGGACGGGAGGGGAGGAGGGTTCACAGCAGAAGGGGTTGGGGCGCCCCGCTCCCGCCCACTGGGCTCAGCCTGGGGGCAGCCGAGGCACCCGTCCCAGGGGCCTTAGACCCTTGCACCTGGCTGCTCATCTGGCTGGGGCAGGGGCGGGGCGCATGCTCACTCGCCCGTGTGGGTCCTCAGGTGGTACTTGAGTGACTGCTTGTAGCGGAAGCACTTGGCGCAGTGCGTGCAAGGGTAGGGTCGCTCGCCCGTGTGAGCTCGTTGGTGCTCCAGCAGGTGGTGCTTCTGTGTGAAGCGCTTGCCACACTCAGCGCAGTGATAGGGCCGCTCACCCGTGTGGATTCGTCGGTGTTCCAGCAGATGGTGCTTGCGGATGAAGCTCTTGCCGCACTCGGGGCATGCATGCGGCCGTTCGCGCGAGTGCACGCGGCAGTGGTTGGTGAGCTTAGACTTTTCGCTGAAGCTCTTCTCGCACTCTGGGCACTTGAAGGGCCTTTCGCCGGTATGAGTCCGCTGGTGGCGCAGCAGGTGCGACGGGCGGCTGAAGCTCTTGCCACACAGGCTGCAAATGAAGGAGACCTCGTGCTTGCCAGCATGTACACGCTGGTGGATAACCAGGCTGATGTGCAGGCGGAAGCTCTTCTTACATTCCGGGCACGTGTAGGGCCTCTCGCCCGTGTGTGTGATCTGGTGCTTGGTCAGGCTTGATTTGTGGCTGAAGCTGCTGTCACACTCTGGGCACTTGTAGGGCTTGGGGCCGCCACCACTGCCTGAGCTGGGTGATTTGGGCCGTGGCTTGAGCGAGTGTTTGGGAGTAAAGGCTGAGCCACGCTCTGGGGAGGCGTAGCCACTGCGCACCCGGTGGATACGCTGGTGTAGTGTGAGTTGCTGCTTGTGGCGGAAGCTGACCTCGCACTCGGCACATTCATAGGGCCCCTCCTTGATGTGGTTGCGCTGGTGGATGATGAGGTTAATCTTCAGCCGAAAGCTCTTGCCGCACTCCATGCAAGTGAAGGGCCGCTCGCCACGCCGGTTCCTCTGCTGCTGGCTGGAGGTCCCACGGTTCTCACCCAGGTGCCGCTCACCATGCCCGTGGGAATGCCCATGAATGCTGGGCGCCAGCCTCTTCACTGCTGGGTTGCCTAACTGCAGGGGTGGGGGGCTCTCCTCGCCCTCAGGGGACATCTCCCCAGGCAGGGGGGTCTGATACATACTGGCCTCATATCTCCCGGACAGCTGCCCAAGGGATTGCAAGTGCTGGGGCAGCTCGTCCTCCTCTTCCTCTTCTTCATCCTCCTCCTGCTCCTCAGTCTTTATCACGATCCCCTCTGCTCCAAGGTAGAAAGAGAGGGTTTAGCTATTATCTAGAATCCTGATCCTGGATAAGTACAAGGCTTCATTCTCATCAACAGACTTTGCGACACACACACACACACACACACACACACACATTCTTTTTTGGAAAATCTAGTTCCCTGTTCCATGATTCCTACCTTCAGATGACCAGCCGTGAAACCCAGAGCTTAACAGGGCTCTTAGGGAGGAAGCTACTTGGCACCTTGGTGCTAATGGCATGAAGGTGGTGGAAGAGCAGACCCCAGTGAGAAAGAACCCAGCCCTAGGAACCCTCACACACCGTGCCAGAGCTTGTGTTCATGAACTCAAGTCTGTGAGTCAGCAAAGTTCCACTTTTCCTGTTGGAGCACCTGGGGGCCTCAGAGTCTGCAGAGGTCTCAATGGCACTGCTGACTGGCTCATAGTATCTTCTCCCTCTTCAGGCTGGTTTCTCCCTAAGCCCACCTAGTTTTCTCAGCATGCCTTCATTCACCCCCCTCCTCCTCAGTCTCTGTCTTCCTTTGTGATACTGACCTGTGAGTGACATTCAACATTAACCGAGCTCCTCTCTGGTGGTACTCAGGCTCTGGTTTTCTGTGGCAACCCAGGGACTACACAAGCAGGTCTCATTGTGCAGCCTGGAACAAGGTGCTTTGAAAACACCAGGCTCATGGCTTCCTTCAGGCTCCAGAGTTCATGCATGCCCAATTGGTGGAATGATTCTGCTTACCTCTAAGCCTGGCTTGTCCCTATGGTGTAGGGGAAGCTGTAGCCACGCCATTGTTGTATCTTCTTATATTTCACCTTTATGATTGTTAATTTTGGATACTTTACACTGTTAAGTTTTAATCCTCTTTCAGACTAAAAGGGGGATTGTAGGGGAAGCTGTAGCCATGCCTGCTTAGGGGCTGGCTAAAGGTCTGCCTGACCTGCGAGGGCGTGGTCAGGGTGACTAGAGTGAGAGTTGGTCAGGTGGCTGGTTTCTGGTTTCGGCTTGCTGTACAGACTGCTGCCCACTGGCTGGCTAGGTCACTCTATAAGTAAGGCTTTTTCCCTATTAAAAACCTGGCTCCGTATTGGTAATTTCCCGCCATACTATGGGACCTAAATAAAACTATATTCTACAGGGATCCATGAGAACCTAAGCAATACTTGTCTTATTTGAATTTCTCCAGGTGCTTTGCAGTCTGTCATCTGGCATTTCCTAACTAGTGTTAACTGGAAAGGACTTTTGTTTGCTTTTGAGACAGTGTCTCTATGTATGGATGGCTGGCCTTGAAATCAAGAGTTCACCTGTCTCTGCCTCTTGAGAATTAAAGGCTCAGATTTTTTTGGGAAATATAATTACATTTATTCCCTTCCTTTCCTTCCTCCAAGCACTCCCATTTGCCTCTCCTTGCTCTCTTTTCAAATTCATGGCCTCCTTTTCAGTTGTAATTCTCCCTCTCTCTCTCTCTCTCTCTCTCTCTCTCTCTCTCTCTCACACACACACACACACACACACACACACACACAAATTAATCTATTCAGTCTGTGTAATGTTACTTGAATATATGTTTTCTGGGCTGACCATTTGGTGTATAAGATTTTTTAAAATTATCTTTTAATTATGTATCTGTGTGTGGGTATAGGATCCCACTGGAGCTGGAATTACAATTTTGAGTTGCCCAACATGAGTGAGTGCTGGGCACTGTCCTCTTAACCACTGAGCCATGACTACAGCCCAGTTTTTGAATTCTAACAAAATCTTTCTAGACATTTAAACCTGTCCTTTGTACCTGACCCATTGGGGGTCAAATGACCTTTATACAGGGGTCACCTAAGACCACTGGAAAAACACAGATATTTACATTATGATTCGTAACAGTAGCAAAAGTACAGTTACGAAGTAGCAACAAAAATAGTTTTATGGTGGGGGGGGTCACACAATGTGTGGGACTGTATTAAAGGGTCACAGAGAATCACTGCCCTAAAGCTTGTAAACTGCAGTGTTAAATAGACAACATAGGAGTAGTGAGAGCCTCCAAACCTGGCCTCTGCATACTTATTTAAGGCATTAGATCCTGAGCACTTGACCAAGGATTAGTTGAAAATATGCAAATTATAGCCAGATACGGTGATGCATGCTTGTACTCTCAGCATTTGGATGTCTGAGGCAGGAGGATCACAAATAAGGCCAATTTAAGCTACAACTAGAAGCCCCCAATTTCAAAAACAAACAAAACACAAACACCCAACCAAACAGTGAAAACCGGAGCACCAGAAAAGCTGTCACGAAGGACATTCCAGGATCAGCATCGAATGCCCACTGTTACCAATCTGTACTCATGGGAGCAGAACCAGGACACTGGGATTATATAGTCACAAGGATTGTGACTAGAGTCGGCCAGAGAAGGATAGGAGCCAATCTCTCTCTTTCCCTCCCTCCCTCCTTCTCTCTCTCTCTCTCTCTCTCTCTCTCTCTCTCTCTCTCTCTCTCTCTCTCTCTCCTTCCCTCCCTCTCTCCTCTCTCAGCTTAAAAAGAAAACCCCATGGCAGGCAAGCTATAAATCTCCTCAGCTGCTCGGAGGAGGAGAACGGACAGGTGAGGGAAAAAGCTATGCTGTTTGACCTGGGCTGGCACTGAGGCACTTCAGAGAAATAGTAAAGAGAAAGAAAGCATAGTTAGGCTCTGGTCAGCATCAGGGTGGGATGGGCAGGAAAGGAAAGAGAAGAGTTAACCCTTTCTAGGTTAGGACTCAGAATGGCAGGCAGAGTCAGCAGACCCTTGTATTGGCTCACAAGGACTGCCACAGTTGTTTTTAATACATTATTTTCTCGAAGGGTGTGTTGGCACACACTTTCATTGCCAGCACCAGGAAGCTAGCCTGGGCTACTTAGTGAGACCTCTGTCTCAAAAATAGACACCACCACCCAAACAAAACAATCAAACTCCAAAGTCACAATGATGTTGAGGTTAATGAGAAGAAAGTTTGAGCTTTGCCACTACCGTGTGACCTTGGACATGTTTCTGACCACATCGGCCTTTGAGCCATTGGCTTGTTTGAGCCAATCTTGGGCAGAACAACTTCCTTCCTAGATGGGGAGATTCTAATAATTTCTGAGTTTATTAGGACCACTATTCAGGAGACAGGGCCCTCTGCAGCCCCACCCACCCAGAACTTACCTGTGCAGTTTCTCTGCTGCACCAGCATCTGCTTGAGCTCGCTGAATTCACTGGAGCCTTCGGTGGACTCCTCTAGTGTGTTCTCTTGTTCCTGCATGTCCAGGTCTGGCTGCTCTCCACAGGGGTCACCCAGCTCTGAGTCCTGAAAGCCGTGTTCCTCCACTTGTCCCATCAGTGGCTCTGGTGTCTCCAGACCTTCTGAGCCCTCATCATTGGTCTGCACCTCAATCTTGATCACGATGCCATCGTGTGCTGAGGGAAGGTGAGGACACACAGAGCGGTCATGCCACCTCCCCAGGGTTCTACAGTCCTAGCATTAACATTCCAACAGGTCTTTTTAAAAAAGAGACCCTAAAAAATACAACAGAGTTAATGGTGAGCAGAAAGAATTTTCTGGACACTTTGTAGTCTTGAATGCTAATACGAATTAGAGTCAAGTTATAATAAATTAAAACCTTATTCTCTACAAACTCTAAGTTGTTTAGAAAACTATTTCGCTTTCCAGACCAGGCATCCAAACCCAGTTTTTCTCTTGTTTGTCCATTCATGTTCCAAAGGCCATAAAAAGGTGGGCTATCTCCTCACTTCTCCATCTGACCTGTTTCTAACAGACAGAAGCCCTACTCTTGACCCACATGACTTCCCAGCATAGGTGTGACTGTGAGAGTGATGTCTGGGTTTTGTCTGTTTCTAGTTAGACAGAACACCATTAGATACACAGCTGTAACATGTGTTTTCTTGCACAGATCTACATTAGCTTCAGATGAGCTTTATAGATATAGCATCACTCTACACAAATGGGAGCATAATACACACTTTTGCTTTTCAGTACAGTCTTTTGTTCCTGCTAATTTGCTTTCTCCTCTCATTTCACCATTAGAACCATGAAGATAACTCCTGTAATTAGTTCTGATTGCCTCCATGCTTATATAGTTACATTCAAATCAGCATACATACATTAATTTTATTATTGGGTCACTGTTGGAGTTAAAATAAAACAGCCTTCTTTTCTCCTCTTCGATCAACTATCTTGTAGAAATCCCTTCAAGATGATTTTCCATAGTGCTAACCAGTCTTTTAAATGATCCATATATCTCATCCTGTGGCTCATACTGTAATTTAGCAAGTTATTCCCTAAAGAAAAAAAAACACTTTTTGTCCTCATCTTTTGCTATAGTAAACAATAGTACAACAAACATCTGTTTATGTCCCTGATTACAAAATAGTGGTTTCATTTCTATGAGACACTCAGCAATGGGACCACAGAATCCAAAGATTAAATATTGTTAATTTTGGTGGATGCAATCAGGTTGCTTTTCAATAATGTAACAGCAGCTCATCCTCCCACTAGGCTTGGGAAGACAACCCTCTCCCCATATCCCTGCCAGCAACATTTTCATATGCTCATTGTCCTCACCTCAACAAATGTAAAAAGTGGCAACTTTGACTCTGTTGTTGTTTTGTTTTTATTTTTTGAAACAAGGTCTCATCATGTAGCCCTGGCTAGCCTGGAACTCACAGTTTTGCCTGCCCCTGCCTCCAAAATGCTAGGATGAAAGTCACTAACATTAAAGTGTACCAACATGCCTGGCTGATTATATTTATTGGATAGGGGGATTTAGATATCAGTCCTTTAGAAGGATTTTGTGTAGTGAATACCAACTATTGTTAACTTTTTTCTAGAGGTAAGTTTAGTGATGCATCCTAGTCCTTGGAGGTAGAGGCGGGAGGATCAAGAGTTCAAGGTCATCCCTGGTTGCATGTGCTCTTAAGTGAGGAGCTGTCTCTCTAGCTCCTATTTTTCACTTCTGAGAGAGGTTCATGGTAAATTTTCCAAGCTGTCTTTGAACTAACTCCAGCCAGTTTAAGACCAGTCAGGTCTTAAATTTGTGATCCTCATGCCTCAGCCTCCCAAACTTCTAGTCCTGGTGGTCTTTTGAGTATCTTCTAAATGAGTGGTTTTCAACCTTCCTAATGCTGTGACCTTAAATACAGTTCCTCTTGTTATGTTAACCCTCAACCATAAAATTATTTTTGCTGCTAATTTTTTTTTTATTTTTTAATTTTATTAGTTTAAATTAGGAACAAGCTTGCTTCACATGTCAATCCCTTCTCCCTCCCCTCCCCCCAGCCTCCCACCTGCTCCCCTCGCCATCCACCCTCCACTCCCCAGGCTGGGTAGGGCCCTCGACGGGGGCTCCCCAAAGTCCACCACATCATCCTGGGCCGGGCCTAGGCCCTCCCCCATGTGTCCAGGCCGAGACGTGGGATGGGCTCTCAAACTCCCTTCTTACACCAGGGAAAAATACTGATCCACTACCAGGGGCCCCCTAGAGTGCAGAGGCCTCCTCATTGACATCCAAGTTCAGGGGTCTGGATCAGTCCCGTGCTGGCCTCCCAGACAGCATCTGGGGTCCATGTGCTCTCCCTTGTTCAGGCCAGCTGTTTCTGTGGGTTTCACCAGCCTGGTACTGAACCCTTCCATCTTCATTCCTCCCTCTCTGCAACTAAGTTCCAGAGTTCAGTTCAGTGCATTTCTGTGGGTATCTGCCTCTGCTTCCATCAGTCACTGGATGAGGGCTCTCAGTAGGGGTCAGGCCGGCGGACTTGTTGCTAATTTTTAACTATTTTGTTACTGTAATGAACTGTAAATAATTTTTGTAGAGGTTTGTCCTTGAGAACCACGGTTTGAAAGGCTCACATGCATTGTGTTTGGTCCTATGCAGTGGTATGGGGGGAGTAAGGCTTTAAAAGATGGGTGGATTGGAGGCATTGTTCTTGTGAAGGCAGTGATGCTGGCTTAGAAAGTCATGGGTTTCTTTTCTTCAGGATGCCATCTGCTGTGCTATAATGCAGCCAAAAGGACTTCTAAGAGTAACGAGGTGCTGGCAACAAGCTCTCCACAGCCAAAACTGTAAGCTAAACACACTTGCTTTTTTTTCTAGTGTCAGGGTCTCACTTTTCAGCTCAGACTGGTCTGGAACTTACAGTACGGCCCAGGTGGATCTTGAATTAGCTTTACAGCCAGGGATGACCTTGAACTCTGATTTTCCTGACCTCTACTTCCCAAGTTATGAGATTACACACCACAATGTCTACAACAAAATTACTTTTTGTATAAATTACCAATTTCAGGGTAGTTTGTTAGAGCAATACAAAATGGATTAAAAACCTTCCCCTTCCCCAATCTCTCCTCCCTCCTTTAACTTGTGACCACTGTCTTTCCTTACTGCTGCTTCTGTCTTCACTCTGCAGGTCCCCAGAACTGTGCCTCTTCGCCCTGCTTCAAGCCTATATCAAATCATTACATGCCCTCCCTAACTTACATAGACTCCTGAAAGTATTTACTTGTCTACTCCCTAAAATAACACTTCAAAACTGCCTCTCTGTACCTTTTTTGAATAAATATACAGGTAAACTGGGTCACCACTATAACCCTAGCACTTGGGATGCTGAGGGAAAAGTGTCACAAGCTTGACACCGTTCTGGGGTACAGTGAGACCATCTTTAAAAAAGTCACAACAAAAATGTAATTTCTAGAGTAAACATTGAGCTAGAAATAAGCTTTTTCCTCATCCCTTAATGTTACCCATGGAATCTAAAAACTCCAGCAGTTTTAAACCCAACATTATTTGCTTAAAAAAAAAAAAAATCAACAGACAAGTTCTCCTTTGATAGCTGGGATCTTTACTCCATTCCTTGTCACCCTGAGCTGGTTTCCAACCCCACTCTGCCCATGGAATGCTATCCTAATAGAATGCACTTTCATGCCTAGGAGCCTTTTGCTGATCCCCTCATCTGCCACAAAAATGTTCCTGTAAATTGAAAGAGAATCTTGCTTTCATTTCTAACAGTCACAAGGCTGTGCATGTTCATTTCTTTCTGATTGAAGTTATCCTTAGCAACAATTATGCAGAACAATAAACAGTCATCCAACATGGGGGGGGGGGACTTTGGAAACAAATCCCTTTTAAGAATAAACAGGGTTTCCCTCAATTAGTTCACTTACTAAAGAATGAGCATTCTTACTGTATGATTAGACAGGTCAGAGTCAGGTGTATTCTCTTTTTCATTTTTTACAGACACAAGTACTGTGGATGGGCTACAAGTTGCTCAGTTTGGAAATGTCACTTGATTCTTTGAACTTACTCTAAATTACATGTTGCAAAAACCATGGGGTTAACACTTGATCAAAAATTCTTTCTTTCTTTTCTTTTTTTTTTTTTTTTTTGGTTTTTCAAGACAGGGTTTCTCTGTGTAGCAAAAATTGTTTCTTAATGGCCATTGGCAGACACCTATATTCTTTTAATTTTGTTGTAAAGCAAAATATTGCAAAAACTTAACTAGTAATAGGACTGCCATGCATGTCCCAGAGCAACGCCCTTCTGCACATGTCTCCACCAGTTTGAATGATATGGGTGGTGATGCAGGGGTTCACCTCAGAAATGTTCCATGTAAGATTGGAACAGGCAGGGTACACTCTCATTTCTTGTGGTCCCTGGGATAGAACCTGGGATCCCATGCAAGCCAGACATGTCTACCACTGAGCTGAGCTCCCAGCCCCCATTTTACTGAGACAGGGTTTCCTGTCCAGGCTGTCCTGGAACTCAGTCTGTAGACCAGGCTGGCCTTGACCTTACAGAGATCCGCCTGCCTCTGTCTCCTGAGTGCTGGGACTAAAGGCATTCGCTACCACTGCCTGGCATTTTACTTTTTAAAATTTCAGACTACACCTTAAATGTGAATAATGAAATCATATTAATTCTATAGTAGAAAAAAGCCTGGGCTTGTAAACCTTACAATTTGAGCTGAGAAACAGGCTGTCTGGTTGTGCACACAAACCATTAAATGCTGCAATTCCACATCAACTATAAGCTTTTGCTGTTGATCCTTTTTTTTTTGGCTATGTAGCCCAGGCTTGCCAATTAGAACTTGGGGTTCTTTTGTCACAGCATCACAAGTATTGGGGTTACATGTCTGTGCTACCATGCCTAATTATTTTGTTATTTTATCACAGTTGTGTGTATATGCTCGCCAACGGATACATGTGCCACACTTGCACAGGAGGTTGGAAGACAGCTTTTAGGTCTTGGTTCTTGTTGTGGAATAATCCTTTTATGAATATGTACTGCTCTTACTGTTAACAAATAGCTGACTGCACAATAGCTGCGCAGGAAGAGGTTAGGCGGGAGAACCTAACTGAGAGAATACTGGAAGAAAGACAGAGTCACAAGGAGTCACCAGCCAGATGC